ATATATATATATATATATATATATATATATATATATATATATATATATGTATATATATATATATATAAATGTATATATATATATATATATAATCGGAAAAATAAGACAACGGCATTATTGGACCTTCCTTCAAATTGTTAAGATCTTTCATTCACCGATTAAAACCCTCACTCTGGTTAGATGTAACACCAATTTCGGGATGCAGGTTAATAAATTTTTTTACATAGGCACAAGCAAAATACTGTAATTTGGAGTGAACATGGGATTGGAAATATTCCACGAATCTTTGACTCCATTTACCTTTCCTTGATTCAATTTCATGCTTCATGGGTATTCTAAGAATTTTATATATTTCTTCAACATAAAAATCTTCCACCAGATGATTGATTGTATGTTGTTTTACGTCCCATTCGAGAATTTTTCACTCGTATAGAGACGTCACCATATACCGGTGAAGGGCTTCAAATTTTGACGTTTACTCGGCACTCAGGGCCATAAAGCAGTAAGGGATCTTTATCGTGCCAACGCCTGCCTGACGGGGGGCCTCGGTTTTTAAGGTCTCATCCGAAGGACCCGCAACTTTTACTTCAAAGTGCAGAGCGCATGGCGAAGGAACAGATGCTACCCATTTTTTATCGACTTAGGTCAGTCGCGTCCGAGATTCGAGCTCAGGACCCCCCGATTACGGAGCGAGCGCTCTATCGACTGAGCTACCGTGAACGGTCCCACCAGATGAGAGAAAGTGTACTTTCATATACCTTTTCTTAAATAACGCCAACCTACAATTTTCAGGTTTGTCTCTTCCTCAATGGCATTTAGTATACCCCGTTCCATATCAATTGCTATCGGGACATTAGCTAGGTTATACTTGCAATATTTTCTTAGAATGTCGAAGATAAGCTCGTGGTGAGATTGAAAATTTCGTTCGTAAACCATGAACAAGGCAGCCAAAACAGGCTTTTTCTTCGAAAACTTGGTATTTAAACAAAATAGCAGATGCACAAAAATCACCCATAGAGAACGTGGTGTCATAGCGCAGGAGTTGTTCAGTTTTACTGCCATTTAGTTCTTTTAACATTTCCTCCATTCCAATAATTGCAATTAGAAATTGGAAATGAACAAATCTTTTGTCTTCATAGGCAATGACTTGTAAGTTAATCAATGCATCTTTTGTTGGCCTTTCACCCAATTTCATTTTTTCTTTGCTATAATGTATTTAACAAACATTTCTTGACATGTCCGTGATTTCAGCATGTTCATCCGTAACAACCGATTCTTTATAAATTTTATGCGCACTTTTATCATTGGCCTTTACGTTTTCTTGATTTTTTTTTTCCACGGAGAGTTTGAATTCTCACAGAAATCTTTGTCTGTTTTCTGTAATTTCCCTGAGCGTTTTGTTTTGAAAAAGACGCATCTCCAAGATAGTGTATCACGGCAATTTTAAAGTTGGAAGATAAAGGGAGATATACCATGGCAATACCATGAAATCTCTATAATTTCCAATAATGAAATGTCATTTAATTGCCTATAAATTAAATGAAGATCGACAATTTAAAAGTAAATAGGTTAATCCAATGTTTAATATTTACCTCTTATCATCCTCTTCTAATTCCAATATTTCCTTCAGCTTTGTTTTGAAGTCTTTTGATAGTTATAGGAAATCTTTTCTATGACAATCTCTCTATCATAAACAGGTAGTGTTGTAGAACTTATTATTACTAAGCATTCAAAAGCAGGCTATACTGTCTTCTTTTTATGATTGAGGGAAGTCAACAGTAAAAATTATAAAGTGATAAACCATCGTCTCAAAGCGCGGTTCGGAGTCCGCATATAGCTCTCTCCTACCCGTGGCTGCTTGATCATATAAATTGTCGTAATCTTGAATATTTATGCCCTCGTCACCTGCATACGGGGTTTATATCTCTCAGTTGATTCGATTCGCAAGAGCATGCTGTACGTATGAATAATTTCTTAAACGAGGTAAATTATTGACAAACAAATTGATGAAACAAGAATATCAACAGTCTCGTTCAAAGTCATCATTACGTAAGTTCTATGATCGATACAATGACCTTGTCAGCATATACAATTTATCATTGGGTCAAATGCTGACTGACGTTTTTCATACTAATTGTTTAGGCCATTATATACACACTAAAATGTCGACGGATTTTTCCGTTATTTCCCGATCATGACAAGGAGCACACGGCGGGTGTGACCGGTCGACAGGGGATGCTCACTCCTCCATGGCATCTGATCCCACCTCTGAATTTTTGGAGGTCCGTGTTTGCTCTGCTCCAATTTTGTACTATTTAATGGACTTTTGAGCTTGAATACTGTTCGTTATGTCCATATATTTCACTCTGTGCTGTGACGTCATGTTCAGCCAAATGGCAATATTTGTTTCCATCGCAATTGAAATCAAGAATTGACATCATCAATAAACAAACTACACAGGTAAAATTGCAACGTATGTTCAGCATATGTTTCGAGTAACATATGTTGAACATACGTTAAACATATGTTGACCATATGAATTTTCGACAGTATGTTGAACATATGTTTAAAATATATGTTGAACATATGTTTAAAATATATGTTGAACATATGTTTAAAATATATGTTGAACACTTGGCAGACTCAAAACATATGTTGAACATATATTTGTGGTAACTATATGTTTAACATATGTTGAACATATTTTAAACATATGGTTGTTTCAAACATATTTTCAACATATGTTTTAGTTTCACATAAAATTCATACTGAACATCATATAATAACCAATCGCCTTTTCACATTTATTTCATTTAATATTAAATTAATGTTATCGTTATTTGAATTAATTTTATTTAAATTTAACGAGATAAAAAAATTAATTTAATGTTAATCAGTGAACCGACAATAATTTAATATTAAGCGTAATTTGAAAAATTCGAGTTAAATGTTATATTTTAACATGTCAGGGGCGGATCCAGCAAATTTTGAAAGGGGGGGGGTCCAGGTCGGTGCCCCCAACACACATGTATAGAATCGCACCATAGGCACTTCAAGCCCGTACCAACCTCCGGACCCCCCCCCCTTTCTGGATCCGCCAATGCAATTAGACTGCATGTTAAAAAAATTAATTTCAATAGCAAGTATCAAGATCAATTTGAATACATTTATTGAAAAGAATGGTCATTTCTTGTACAAGCTTACATAAAAAGGGGGAGGGGTGAACTACTCTGTTACCCTGCACCCCCTCCCCCACTCGTTTCTCCAAATTCAGCCCCCTCTTTTCTTCAAATTCAAAATTGTCTTCTTGAACATGGTATTCCCCAAATCAACTTTATCAAGAATTAATAAATTTGTATTTACCCCGTTTTGTTTGGATTTATTTTATGAGTGAAATTAAAATCATTCCACATTTTATTTCCGGACCGATTTTGGTTTTTATCGGATGAAAGTGTACTACGTCATTTTTGACGCCACTGCTGCAGCAGAAGTATTGGGTGTTAGAAACAAGTAAGTGCTATCAGTTATGTTTTTTAAGTTGGTTTATGGTGTTTTAAGAGAATTTCATTACGGTTATAGATTCATACGAACTCTTAGTACTCTCGTGACTTGCATAACATCTAACTGTAGTTGTAATTAATGCAGTTCGTAAAAAACGACACATTCAGTGATCTTATCTAGGCGTACATGCTACATTATTTTAGATTTGTTTTCGATGATTCACGAATGGAAAAACTATTTAGCATTGCTAACTTTTCAGATTTGTTGGATAGACTGCACTTTACCGGTACGGCCGCCATTTTGATTCCAGATCCGCGCGTGAGATGGCACGGCGTAAATACTTAGCAACGTATCAACTATGATGGGTGACGCCATTTTGTTTTGTAGGGAAGCGAAAAAAGGTAGCAACGTCATACCTTTGGACTGCACTTTACCGGTACGGCCGCCATTTTGATTCCAGATCCGACTCGATTAAATTGGTGCATGCACCCGTTTCTTTGTTCTTGAACTCTATTGAATGGTTTACCGTCAAATGGGTATATCCTTCCTTTTCTAACGAGGAATACGCTTTCCAACAATCAGAATAAATTGTGGTTCCAGGCTCCACGTATTTCTGAATAATTGGAACAAGTGTGGCTGCACTTCTATCACTCACAACCTCAAAGAAGCATCTCTTGGATTCTCTCTCAATGCCACCGAAAATCCTGACACCATCCACTCTTTTTCCACGATGATACTTTCGCTTACCGAATTTGCTCTCGTCAATTTCCACAGAATTACCTGGCCCTCCAATCTTCTCGCTATCTTGTCGCAAAATGCATAAGCATACCTCCCTAGCAAAATTTCTCCAGTCCACTATTGTATGTTCGCTGCCTAAGTTTAACTCGCGTGAAATAAATTCGCCAGGTAAGTCATAAATCCAATAATAAGTAAGTTTTACAATCTGTTCCAGTAACAGCTGTGATTTTGAAAACCACAGAAGGCAGGCTCGGGTCACGTGACTAGCAACGTCATACCTTTGGAATGCCGGCAATGAACAGAAAGTAACAGGTTTGTTTTGGAAACCCAGAAAATTCTGATTAATAAACTTCGTTAAGAAAACGAGGTTTATTAACATGAAAAATGACGAGGATTTCAAAAAATAGATTATTTTTGCATTTTATTGCCGTTTTAACGAAATCGTCACGCTGACGCGTGACTCTATTATATAGGAGGAGCACGTGCTATTTTGTACGTACCGGTAAAGTGCATTTGTCCCGATTTGTTTTCCTTTTGTCGACAGTTACGTTTGCATATTTATGTACGATCTTGATGAAAGTGAAAGTAGAAATTTTGCATTGCAGTTTGTGTGTAGCCTATGTTAGATGGTTATCCACTCGGCTCTTTTATCAAATTTTTAATGGAAAATGTTTGTTTTTATTATTTATTAAGCAATTGGAGTTCAGTGTCAGAGTGCCGTTTTTATTGAAAGAACCCAAAGCTGTTAAGACTGACGATTCAACCCTGATTTGACTGAAGATTGCACGATCACAATACAGGTGAAAAGAATTACATATAATAATCACAGTATTTACAGGGTGCATATAAGTAATGACTCTTTAATAACAAAATAGTTTTTGAGAAATTTCTTTTTGCTTCTTATGTGGCAATATATGCAATGTATACGCCAATAAAGATACTACTACTTAATTCTACACTGTTTTGCATTTATTTACCAAAAAATTGTACTGTCTTTTTTTGGCTAAAATATTGAAGGTATGAATATGGATAGAACTTGCTGGCTTTTAAACTATAGAATATCTGAAAGATGATCAATTTCAGCCTAATCTGGCATTCAAGATATTAGTGTATATATGTAAATGTATTTGAAAGTTCATCAGCTAATTTATTACTTATTTATATATTAATTGACATCGAATTTTATTTCAACACTAGAGAAACTAGAGACTTGTACTCACTCTCTTTCAAGTTTCTTTTAAGTTTTGATTGGAATTTGATTAGAAAGTATTTACTGTATTTATTTTATAATTTGTATAGGTTCAATATACAGTCTGTCTGCTATGAATAACATGGAAGAACACCACGACCCTAGGCTTGCTTCAGAATAGGTAAGTACAACCTGTATTACAAGCTTTGTTTTCTTCTTCCAAACAAAGTTTTTCGATATACTGGAAACAAAATGTCTATTTCTCTGCCTGTATTTTTATTATATCCAAACATACATTTGTATCTGATTATCCATTTGATATTAATATATTATATTATTTCAACATTCCAAATTCATTTGTATACATTTAGAGAAACTAGTTGTATTTTTTATGATTTTATTATTAAGCATATCTTCCAAGAGAGAAATTGTCTTGGACATAACATTATATGGTGTTACACAACACCATATAATGTTTTATGAAATTAGTTTTAACTCATATCATAACTGATAACTGTTTAGGAGAATGGGGTATGCATTTGTTTGCACATGCATATGACAAATATATTCAGTGTATGAACTTAAATTACACGTAGACTTTAATTTGTACATGTATTTTAGAAAACCTGTATTAATCAACAGAACCTTAAAATTGGAGACTCCACTGAAGTGCCACCCGGTACCTTAACATGTGACAATTTCAAATCCTATGATGAGGTTCCAAGGGGTTGTAAAATGAAAGAAAACAAAGAACAGGCCAAGAAACAATTTTTAAGTGCTCAAAGTAATTACTCTTTGTGCTAACTAATACTGGTATATATTTATTAATTATACATGTAATTGTAATGAAATTTGGACGTCTTAATTTTTATTATTTCTTCTTTATCATATCAGAAGCAATACAGTCACTGTCAGGGAAATAAAGCCAGAATTATGTAAAAATTTGAAAAAATAAACTCAAGATTAATGCTTGAGATTGTGTTCTTTGATTTCTTATTATTAAGTGATTAAAGGACAAGAGTACTATTTAGTTAAGTTTGCAATCCAAAGAAATACAAAATAATTAAACAATAAATGTAAATAAGAAATAAAATTAACATATGATTAACATATGAAAAACATATGAACTTAAACATATGTTAACCATATGTTCATACATAACATAAAAGCAACATATGTTAAACATATGATCAACATATGTTCATAAACATATATAAAACATATGTTGCTCGTTTTTTATGGCGAACATATGTTTCAGAACATATGTTCAACGTATGTTCAACATATGTTAAACATACGTTGCAATTTTTCCTGTGTTATAGTAGACTAATTATTAACAGAACAATTCGAGGTCTTTCCTTCTTTGAATTTCAATATATATATATTTTTTATATTTTAATCTTTACATTTAAATTACATGAAAAAAACTCGCAAATTGCCTGAAAGATTGATACATTTTTTTAAATGTAATGGCCTTGACCTTTGAACTTGATTAGATACCGAGATAGATAAAGTATGTTTTACGATGTTTATTACAGCATCCATCAACTTGAGAACAATACTAATGAATCATGCACTCATTACTGACCTGTCGCTCATTATATCAAAGAAAAGTAGGGCTAATTTAAAATTAAGAGAATGTGAACAAAAAAAAAATAGTACTATTTTTTTTAAGATCGGACTCGGTATGCGCAATATGTTAATCGTTGAGACAGCATACATCGAAGATGATATTTCCACCCTTCTTCCTAAGTCCCTATATATTTTACTGGTGAGTGTTTACCATCTAATAAAATTCGTAACCCCCTTTTCTCTTTCAATATATATAATGTTTTAACAAACACGTATAAATTTAGGAGAAAGAAAAACAATTAAGAATTCATTTTAAAAAAGGGTAAGATGTTAGAAGAAAAGTCCTTTTCACTAGTACGATGAAATATATGGAGATAACGAACAGTATTCAAGCTCAAAAGTCCATTAAACAATACAAAATAGGAGCAGAGCAAACACGGACCTCTAAACATCAGAGGTGGGATCAGGTGCCATGGAGGAGTGAGCATCCCCTGCCGACCGGTCACACCCGCCGTGTGCTCCTTGTCATGATCGGGAAATAAAGGAAAAATCCGTCGACAATTCAGTGTGTAAATAATGGCCTAACAATTAGTATGAAAAACGTCAGTCAGCATTTGACTCAATGATAAATTGTATTTGCTGACAATGTCATTGTATCGACCATAGAACTTACGAAATGATGACTTTAAAAGAGACAGCTGATATTCTTGTTTCATCAACTTGTTTGTCAATAATTTACCTCGTTTTAGAAATTGTTCATACGTAGAGCATGCTCTTGCGTATCGAATCAACTGAGAGATACATACCCCGTATGCAGGTGATGAAGGTATACTGCTGCATAAGTAAGGGAAGTTGACGATTGAAAAGTTAAAGTCATCACGTTTATCATAAAGCTTGGTTCTTAGATTACCATTAACGTCTTTTTCAAGTAAAATATCCAAATATGAAACAGATGTGTCAGACTCTGTGGTATCTTTTATCTCAAGCTCACCAGGATATATCGTATCGACATAAGAATGAAAATAGCCATTGTTAATTGACAATACATCGTCGATATATCTAAATGTCGAGTTGAAGGCCACAGCAAGTGTTTTCTTCTTATCACGTACAAGATTTTGGACAAATTCTGCTTCATATGAATACAAAAAAAGGTCTGCTAATAACGGGGCGCAATTGGTACCGATGGGAATTCCAATAGATTGTTGGAAGACCTGGTCTCCAAAAACCACATAGATATTGTCAATCAGAAATTCAAGCATCTTTTTAATGTCAACTTCAGAGTACTTGTGTGTACAATCAGAATGTTTTTTAACAAAATAATTTTGCAAATGACCAATGACAAGGTAAATATATTTACGAGTTCCATTTTTATTGAAAAAGCAGCTGTCAATGATATCAAAAAGCCTGGACTTAATTTATCGTGGGGAATGGTTGTGTATAAAGTAGAAAAGTCATAAGTTTTTAAGCTGTTGATTTTGGTAAAATCTTGCGATTTCAAATTTTCCAAAAGTTCCTTGGAATTTTTAAGTATCCACATCTGATTTACCCCACTTCTCGAATATATTGTTGCACAGTACTCTTGAAGTTTCTCCTTCACCACTGTTAATATCTTAGTGAGGAGTAAAGAAAGAGGCTTGGTTGAGCATTTACTGGATCCCGCTATGTATCTTTGTTTGTAAGGATTTTTATGAAGTTTCGGAATCCAATATAAATATGGTAATTCAAATTCATTTTGGTTGTTTGGAATATTAAAAATATTCAAAGCTGACATATGATTTTGAAGAATCTTTCTTAGAAAGGGAACTACGAGTATAAGTTGGATTACCACTTGTAGAATTAAATCCAAGTTCCTCTAAAATACATTTAACATAATGAGCCTTACAAAGACAATGTTGTTACCTGCTTTGTCGGCAGGGACCAGTACGTACTGATCATGTAATCTATCTAATTCTTTTTTCACTTAGGCGTAATAAAAAAATATGTTTGTTTACGGTTACCCGACCGACCCTATATTTAATCGCCGACCCAAATTTTTTTTTCGTCGTAAAAATCCGGAAGTCACTCGCCGATCAGTTTAACATTTACATGCATCATAGGTCGTGCGTTTGAAATCGAAAGTACAAAATGGCGTGCTCAATATCGACATCCACATGTTCGTTGGAGTTTGAGGAATGTCCTCACATGAAAGGGATGAAACTTATATTGGAATTGCCGAACAACATGACATTTACTCAAGTTTTTGAACGATATCATGCCACACATATAAAGGTTCCTGAATTTCGAGTCAGAGGCAAACAGAGTGGGAGCAAAGATGGTAACTGTTTTGACATTACCCGAGGTTTGACCATCGGTGAAGTTATATCCGCGTTTGACATTCGATGCTTTGAATTCAAATGCTTACCATCTGATCACGACGGAATTCGACAAATGATTACTGAAGCAGCTTCAACCGCAACCAAAAGTGCAAGCAATGCCTTTCAAATTCTCATGGCTGGGGGCAAGGGTTATCCCAACAAAAAGGTAGGGCATGTTTGTTTCATATGCACGATGCTCTAGGGCATTTGTAGTAGGTTTCAGCTAGGATTTATAAAAATATATTTTATAATTTTTCTGTTTTGCATTATTGCCAAATTTAATAAATATAAACCTGATGAGGATATTGGTTTGGCGTATATCAATCCTGAAACATTTTTTGTTCTCTTTTCTCGCAGTAGTGGGATGAAGGCTGGTGTGAACAAAAAGGATGAGATGTTTAACATGTTGATTGATGATTTCGTCCAAAGAAAACTAAGCTTTGCGAAAAGTACAGCTAATTCTGAGGGTTCTTACTTCATACAGGTAAATATCTAGTCATTATTTAGAATCTTTTTATTGCCTATAAAAGACTGACTGTATATTTTTTCTTACATCCAATATAAAAGTTTAATTTCTGATTTGAATTTTGACAGGATACTTTGTCAGGAAGGTATTGTATTTCCTTAAAGAAACTCATTCATTAATACTAATTTATAAACATATATTTAGTGTCTATCAGTGTAACACTGTAATACATTTAGCTTAGAAAGGCATGTGGTGTTGTCACAGCTTAATCTGCTTTGCTTTGATGTATTTTATATAGATAGCTTTGAAATTCTGTAAAGCAATTATTAATCAAATTCTATATTTATATGCATCATATTAAAATATATTTGATGGGTCTATTTCACTTGAAAGCTTATCATTCATCTTTTAAAAATAACTGCAATGTAAAGCATTAACTGCAGTCTTTGTTTTATTACTCTAATGTTTTCTCTCAATCAGCTTTTTCATTGCCAGAATTATTATTTAATGAGCATTTACTTTAAAATTTCATCATAACAAAATCTTTATATCCTGTGTGTTGTAGGTGCTGTGCAACGCCCTTTGGTACTTAACAAACCAACACTCAGTTATTGATGAAGCATCTCGACATAAGAAAAATGTGCAGCCAGTTCCAGTTGTGTTTTCCAAATACGAAGGATTTAATGACTTAAAACGAAAAAAACTTAAAAGTCAGCCACTCAAGCTCTCAGATTTAAAAATGCATGCTGAAGCAATTTATAGTTTAATGTTAAAACCCGTTGTCAACTCTAGCCCTGAATGGAAGACTGAAAGTGATAATTTCAAACAGCTTGCAAACTGTATGCTATGTTATAGCCAGTATTTAGAAGAACAGCAGAGAGCAACAACATCATATCATGCTTTGACACATCCTGTACGCACCAAAGGAGAACATGCAACAGTTGAACATAGAAGCAGTGGTGTGACAATAAAATTAAAGTATTCATTGCTGGATGCTGCTATGAGAGAAGCTCAGCCAGAATCTCCAGTATTTTTTGATGAGTCTGTGCATGTTGAAGAACCGTTTGGCAATTCCATTCAAAAGTACAGATTTTTTAATGAGCTTCAACTCACTGTTCCTGTTGACATAATCAGATACTGCCCTGGAGGACCACAAGTAACAACAGTGTGTATCTTCAAAGTTATGGAGGGTCGTCCTGAATCTGTAATTCTTACCCAAGGAGCTAAATTCCTCCAAAAGATCTCTTCCCAACTTAAAGAAGTACACACTAGAGCTCAGAGAGCAGAATTTGATTCAATGGTCAACAACATAGCACATATCTCACCAGCAGTCAAAGCATTTATCTACAGAACATTGACTAACGATGCATCTGCACCTGTCAATCCAGTTATGGAAGAAAGACTTAGACTAATTTCCCTGGGAAATACTGATATTATTGATGACTTGCGACACTTGAATACAGGAAGACCACATGCTTTTGATAACTTTTTTCAGAAGCTTCAAGAAGTTGTAGAGGAAGTCACAGCTGCTGATGATCGCAGACACAATGTGTCATATATCTCAGTGGATCTCTTTAAAAGAAATGATAGCTCAAGCTGCAGAAAAATGTGAAAACGATGACCTTATTCCAAGTGCCAGTCTTGTTCGATTGCAGTTTGCTCCACGCAACCCTTATACCCACAGGGCACTAAATTTCACATCCAAAATTGATGTACAGTACAAAATTCAGAGCCGAGAATTGCGAGTTAGCCACCCAGATGCCCATTATTGTGCTGCACAGCTGAAATATTTGAAAGAAATGTCTGTTGAATTACGAGACTCTGCATTACTGTTTTTTTTGTGACGACAAAGCTAAAGTTTCTATTGGGGAACCTAAAGCTCCAGTATCTACTGGAGTCAGAGGAAAAGCGACAATTGTTCCTGTAAATTCAACATTGTGTGCCTTAGATCATGATATGACAAAAGCTTCTTTGACACCTTCTGTTTATCTTAAATGTGATATTCCTGAATCACCTGCACAGTCTTTTGTCCAAGGAGAAGTTACAAATGTTGTGAATGACTCTGTATTTGAAACATCTGGTCCATTTCGCCATGCAGCATCCCTAGTCAAAATAGCTGCGAAAGAGAACAGGAAAATTTTGCTCAGATTTACTGATGGTGGTACTGATCAGCGTAATAATCTGGAATCTGTTAAGTGTTCTAGCATTGCATATTTCGAGAACTGGATATGGATATGCTTGTCTATGCACGTTGTGCTCCAGGCCAAAGCTGGACCAACCCGGCAGAACGAATTATGTCGGTCTTGAATTTAGGGCTACAAAACTGCGCACTGGAGAGACAGTGCTGTGATGAACAGACAGAAAAACAGTTTCGAAAGTGTAATTCAATGGCTGATATCAGGTCAACAGCTGAAAATGATCCTTGTTTAAAGCTTAAGTGGAAAGAGTCTGTGGAATGTACTCAGTCTATTGTTAGAAATAGATTTCTCAGACTTTCCCTTAAAGACAAACCAATGCAAGCAATGGATCCCGTAAGTGAAGAAGAGATTGATCTTCTCAAAAGGCACCTGAGAGAGCTCTTCCCAGGTATGGATATTGAAAAGCTGCAGAAAGTCCATACGTCCAAAGTAGTAGAATACAATGAATGGTTACATAGACACACAAGACAACGTCATTACTGTTTTCAGATCCGTAAATGTGATGACCGCAGTTGCTGTTCAGAACCACAAAACAAAAATCTTGCTTGGCTACCAGATCCAGTGCTGGATGAATTAGGTGACCATTACCTTCCCTACAGCTCACTGAAATCCACCGACACTACAGAGGATGACAGACCTTCCCTCAGAAAACTGCCTGAAACTCAGAAGACTAAGAGAAAGTCCTCAGATGCTCCTACTACAGCTACAGCTGATGCAGGAATGAAAAATCAAAATGACACTCCTGGCTCTTCTGAAATTTCTAGATGTACTAATTCTGTCATAACAGCCCAGAATGCACGTGCACTGGTGAACTGTGTTGAATGTAGAAAACCACGTGTTTTATATTCAAAACAGAAACTTTCCCAGAGACAACAAGTTACCCTTGCTCTTAGTCTAAGTGAATATGACTACACTTGTGGGGGCCCCGTTTTGCCCCCAAATCATAGTTTGGCCAAATGTGTTCAGATAAGATCTGAAATCAGTTGTATTTCTCCCATTGAAGTGCCATACTACTCAAGTGGTATTGGCAGAGGAGATTTGTGTGCCTATTGTGCTACTGAAGATAGTCAGTGCAACATAGAATTGAAGAAGAAATACAAAACGGTTCTACCATTGTGTGGTATCTGTAAGGCAGCTGGCGAAAAAGGTATCGTTTATCGTCCTTATGGTAACCCCAAACATAAGTAAAGCACCACACAATGGTAAAACCGTTTTGTATTTCAAACATTCCATGTGAATTTGTCTGTAAAAAAATTTAATACAGTAAAAAAAAACCTACCTACCGACCCTTTTTTTTCAGCTGGTAACAGTAAACAAACATATTTTTTTGTTTGGCCTTATGGATTATTGAATACAGAAGGATAGATGGTTCTCATATTGCCCCTCAATCTTTTAATGCGTGATATTAACATACATCTGATACATTTAATCCATTCTGACAAAGTGTCAAGGTCTTCTTTTTCATGTCTGGCCCATCGCCTGGCGTAGTCCTCTATAGAATCCATAATATTTATGAAATTCCGACGCCAGTTGAAGGATCGGGGTTCCCTAAATTTAGGACCTTTTAAAATTTGTGATCTAAGGTCCTCATTATTAACTATATTAACGTCACCAGTAATAACGTGTCCAGCAGGACTATAGTTATAGGGTGAAGAAGAACATGAACACGATGGAGGATTATGTTTCAGATATTCGATATCCAGGCCCTGTAAAGTTTTCTTGTAATTAAAAAGTTTGGAAGCAATAGTCGATGTATATTTGTAGGAAATACAAGGTGTAGTCTTTAACTTGAAATATGGTGGAATACAAAACTGGACCCTTTTGTGATTAAGAATATTATATTAACCGCGTCAATTCCTTTGTTGGCATATTGAAGTTTAAGGAAAAAACGGATTGTTTTAGCTGCATTTTCTTCTGTAAACCGCGGGGGTTTGAAAAGCCTATGATTTGCAATATCCATAATCACAGATCCGAGCCTATATTCTGGTGTCGAGGAATCAAAAGATGGACTTTCCTTGACCTTTTCAAGAAGACTTTTTAAAAGTTTCAAAGGGACAGAGTAAAGTTTGGTGCGAATATGATGTAGACCTAACTGTTGATTTACGTAAGGTAGTAATGAATCAAAAGAGACATCGTGTATTAATGGTTTATTGTAAGACCGATACCCATGACTACGCTTACGTCTCTGTGTATGGTTAAAAAGTCCCATCACATTTACATTGTTACACTGTGGACTGGAAAGATTTCCAACACTATCGACACTGTCATTACATCCATAGGGAAAGACTGTCCCTAGCTTTCTAATCCAAAATTCTTCTCGTTGTCTACGGAAAGGTGTACTCAGTGATGGACTGCTTGTATGGTGGTAAATCTTTTCTAGAATTCTAACTTTCATTGACAAAATAGAGTGATCAGGGAAATTAAAATGTTTGTATAAAAGTTGCTGACCCCCGTTATTTATCTGAAATCTATGACCTGATGTTCTTTTATTGAGTGATCCTTTAGTTTCACCAACATAAACAAGTCCACAAAGATTACATTCTATTCCGTAGACAACATGAGAAGATTTGCAGTTCAGATTTTCCCAAGTTTTGGTACAGAAGCTCTGTCCAGTAAGATTACTGGTGAAAGAAGAGTTATCAAAATGTCACAGGTTTTACAGTTTTTCGCAGAACATTTTGAAATAGAAGACATGGGATCGGAAAAGGAGTCTTCGAATATATCTCTAATAGAAACTTTACATTCTTTCAATTTTTTGTATGAACTATTGGTTTTATACCAAAACTGGGAATCTGAAGACTGTACATATGACGTATGTTTAATATCTCTGAGGATAATCCGAGGGGCACCGAATGAACTCCTCGAGTCTGTGTCCCTTATAGACTCAAAAGAGTGACACCTTTTTATACTGGGCGACGCGTCTGCCAGTATCATTTCGTTATTCTGTGTACTCATGAATGAATAGGTACCGAACGACAAGTATCCTCGGGGGCAGACTGTCCACCAGCAGAGATACATGTTCGGTGGTTAAAATGAAATATATGGAGATAACGAACAGTATTCAACAGTATTCAGTGTATACAGTATTCAGTATTCACCATATGAAACGGATTTACGTATTAGTGAAAAGAAGGTCTGATGTTTAATGTCAATATTAAGACTTTTCAAGCTAGTTCAATTGATTTCAGGTCCAATAACGTACTCAGACGTTATTAATGAGGGGGTTACAAGCATAAAGTAGCCATTTTTTTTCTATAGTATATATTAGTAAAACTATTGTCGTTCCCTTTCCCGGTTATTAAGGCCATGCAAAAATCAATTCAAGTTGTTGAAAAATATATATTACTCCAAACTACAAAAAATATGAACAACCCAACGAGGACATTTTTTAATCATTTTATTTGCATTCTTGTTGTCTTCGACTTCTCTGAAAAAGAAAAAAAAAGTTCAATTGAATGAAAAGAAATTGAAGTTATAGAATAAAACAATTTATTTATACAAAGTAACCCTAGATAAAAACCGAAGAAACTATATCTTAAAAAAATTGCATTTTTAATCAATTAACTGATAAACTTAATATATTACTGATTCAAAATTTCTTACATTTCCTATACTTCAGATTTTCTTTTCAGCCCGCGAACCTTTACCCCCTCTCCGAAACACTTGTCTGGAAATATGTATGCCATCTGTGAATCTGAAACTGAGAACACATCTTCGCCAACCTCAAGAAGATTGCTATAAAACATTTTTAAAATAATTTAAATGAAATGTAGAGATAACAAACAGTAATCAATTTTTTTTTTTTAAAGATGAATGAACAGATAAAAAAAATGAGTAAATACTTCTCGTCAATAAATAAATGGAAAAAAATAAAATAAAAAGGTAATGAAATTAATCAGACTCTAAATATCCAAAATAAATTTACCTGAACAAAAGCCTCTTTAATAAATAAAAGAAATTATTTCGAGAAAAAAATACCATCAATATTTATGAAAGTTTATAAAATAATTTATAAATTGAAAATGATAACTGAGTAAATTCTAATTAAAATATTGAAACAAAAGATACTTAGTTTTATCTATTTATTAATTAATCAATAAAACAATAGCCTCTATAATTTATTTCCCTATCACTAATAAATATATACCTTTCAAAAGACACAGAGTCAACCATTTCGTTGAACTCTTCTTCAGATGCTTCTAAGTCCTGTATTCCCTGCAGTTGTTCAAATTAAAACTTGAATGTCAGATACTGATTTAAACTTATTTCAAAAAATAACACACCCGGTGGAACCTTAACAATAACAGAGCTCGTGCCCTGTTTACAAAACAGTTTACCTTTCACCGGGTGTATTCAATTTGTTTTAATCTTAATATGTAAATAAATAGCACATACATTTTTAGAATGAATATTT